GAAGATAAAGATAGATAAGGAAAATATGTGATTACTTTTGATGGATAGTTAACCCACATGACATTTGTAGAGTCATTCACTTTACACGTTCCTTGAAAATGGTATAAAAGTTCATCAAACCCAACAAGAATAAAAACGTGCCTTAAAACTTGCCACATGTGTTTTAAACTTTTCTTTACTGTGTACATTTTTATACGTCATTGAATAAAAATGTCATTGATAAAACAGTCATGGTCTAGCTTTCTGGTTGGTCGCTAACAGCTATGACACCAAACCCCTGTTCACCAGAAATACTAAAACATATGAACACTGTATCAGAGTGAGCTATATCCAGAAGACAAGGGATGTCAGATGAGCACAAAAAGGGTCTAAAGCAAAGACTGACCTGAAGTGGCAGAGGCGTTGGTGGGGGTAGAAGCTCCTGCCTGGTTTCGTGCATGAGCAGGAATTAGGATCGAGGCCAGGGATGGGTTACTGGACAGTTCTGAGTCAAGTCAAACAAAAGACAGACCAACAAGCAACATCAAAAAGCTGATTACCTTGCATCTGACAGCACATTTTCTTCATACAAACAAATGCAAAATAATGCCATACCTTGAGTTGTGAAGTTGAATAAGGATGGTTTCTCACGTCCATTAGGAAGTTTGACATTGGGATCCCGCAGTTCATCAAAGAAGGAGTGAGCGCAGGCCTCTAGCGGGGTCAGTCGAGCAGTCGGCGTGTACTCCAACAGCCGCGAGCACAACGCAATGGCTTCAGGAGGCGTGCGTGGCCGAAACACCTGCGGAGACGTCTCAGAAGTTTAGAAAGAGTATATAAGTAAGTTGTATATTTTCTTAAATAAGTATCAATAAACGGCAACACTTTATTTTAGAGTTTGCTTGTTACATGTATAATAACATAGTAATTACATAATTAAAAAATGTGCATACAAACCTTTTTTGAAGGAATAACCACACATTATGACATTTTCAATTTTGCATATGCTTTCTTCATTCCATCTGAACGATCACTCGCTCACATGAATTGCGATTAAGCCGCGACATGCCTTGAGCTATGGATGTTTTATGAATCATTCATAGGAAACTGAATCATCTATGAATCATTTAGCAAATTATCTCCCGTTCACTCACATTTAGGATGATTATATGCACATCTTTACAAATTAGGCCTCAGGTTGACATTATGGTAGCCTGCCCTGCATAGGGTGACTTCATGCCCCATTATGGGGTGTTAAAGGCACTGTATACTTTTTCTAGGGTAATAAGGATGAAATGTTCATATGCTTTTTGTAGCAAAGTCTTTAAAGTATTTGTCTTCAGTGGAGCAAGAAGTGCAATCATTGAATTAAAACTTGTTTATATCTAACGTATTATTACACTATAAATGAACTGTTTTTGGTAAACTAGTTCTGGATAACTTGAAGCAGAAGAAAATGAAGGCATTTCAGCCTTTCGAGGTGTTTGCGTCACAGGCACTGGGGCATATCCTGTGCAGAAGGTAAGACTGTGTTTGAAGGGAGGGGTCTGATTGGAAGCAGGATAAGACTAAAAACACACCCTGCAGCTCAGTCGTGTACTACATACAATGACCACCAGAGGGCACCTGAGAGATCCTGCTTTTATACTTAATGTGTGGACTACAGTGTTGGGCAAATTTACCTTAGAGTACAAAAATATCAATTTGATATCTGCATCATAATTTTCAATTATGAAATGTTTTTTTTTGTTTTAAGTAATAAATAAAATGAGATTTTGTTTGTGTAAACATCCCTTTCTAATCATACTAAAGAAAAGTACCAAGATTATTACCAGTTATAACACGTCCATCTGGAACAGTTCATCTGTCCTTCAACTGCATTTTCAAATGACAGTTTGATGTACATGACAACAGTTTCAGTTGCAAGGCATAACACACTACTGTTCAAGAATTTGGGGTCAGTCAGATTTTGTAATATTTCTGTAAGAAGTCTCTTATGCTCACCAAGGTGGCATACTGTGAAATATTACAATTCAAAAGAACTGTTTTCTATTTGAATATGTTGTAAAATGTCATTTATTCCTGTGATGCGAAGCTGAATTTTCAGCATCATTACTCCAGTCTTCAGTGTCACATGATGCTTCAGAAATCATTCTAATATGCTGATTTGCTGCTCAAGAAACATTCTTTTCAGTGTTCAATTTTCAGGATTGTTAGGTGAATAGAAAGTTCGAAAGAACAGCATTTCTTTGAAATAGAAATCTTTTGTAATATAAATGCCTATTATAAAAGTCTTCACTGCTACTTTTAATCAATTTAATACAGCCTTGCTGAATAAAAGCATTCGCTGCTTATAAAAATCTTACTGACCCCAAACTTTTGAACAATAGTGCACAGTCTAAAACCTAGACCACAGAGTAAACAGCAATTGTAAAAAGTGTAATGAAGTCAGCAAGCAATGTTGAGAGCATGTCTGGTGACGTCAAATGGACATGAGGATGTGACATCACTGGCCAACATCAGCTCTGTTCCAAAAACTAGTGAACTGCCTTCTTATGCACACAAATACTGAGTAAAAGAGGCCATTTTTAATTAGACTGAACTGTTTTTATTGATTGATTTGATTTAGTATTGAATGAACCATAATAACACTTACAGTACACATATTGTATATTTCCATATTTATAATGCCAGCTTTTTTAAAATCTTGACACAACGCCTTCTCTCTTCTAAATCAAGCTATCTTAGGCGGTAACATAATTATTCCGCCTACCAGGCTTCCTACGTAGGCAGCTCACTAGGATTCGGAATAGACTGTAAGGTCACTTGGCTAGCCATCACAACAGAGCTCAGAAAGAGGACGTCTGCATACAGACACAATCCTGACTGAAATTTTCCTTCTTCTTTCATCAACTACTTGAGAAGCAGTGTGTCTAAGAACAATAATGAAATGCTGTGTGCTGCAGACGGGTGACGTGAATGGAATGGAGTCAGGACAGTGAGAGGAGATGACGGCTGGAGGTGGAGGGCGGCTGTGCTAGAAGTAGTAAAACAGTTGACCTGTACCTGTTTACTCACCTTAGTCCATGGGTGGGCCTTAATCTGCGGGAATTTGAACTCGGTGTAGTTTGGGTTCATTTCTCGAATCTGCTCCCGTGTGGGAGTGCCCAGCACCTGTGACCACAAACACACAGAAACACCCGTTTTTTAATTTTTTTCTGACATGTTGGTTTTATCTTTCACTTGGATGCTATAAGTTGCACTGAGTAAATACAGCTGGATAAAACAAAAACTGTGTCCGTCTTCATTTCAGACTGCAAAACAACAAAATGTGATTATTTTAAAGTGGGTGATTCTTTTCTATACCCACTGTAGCTAAACCTAAGAGTGATTTTTTTTACTTACATCTAGTTTCATATTTAATTGTAGTGTCTTTAAAATATGTTTAAAATTTACTGATGAATATACTGACAAACATTTATGGTAAACTAAAACACACTTTCATGTCATTTCTACTGAAACTTGCATGGAATCTATTTCAATATATTCGTAATTACACGTACACTAGTATGAGTGTGAAAAGTTGTAAGAGAGTTCACCTTACAAAACTGTTACAAAACTGAAGAAACACCCATAAATCATGTTAACAGTCTTGTATAAAACTAACTAAATCAACTGACTGTGGCTCTGCAATTGTTGCTCTTCCTACAAACTCATGTAAACACTGAGATTAAATCTCAGACAGAAGTGGCGGTGTAGCGGCGCCAGTACCTTGATGATTTCCACCAGCTGATCCACTCCGCTGTCGCCGGGGAAAATTGGTTGTCCTAGCAACAGTTCCGCCAACACGCAGCCAGCTGACCACACGTCTGCAATAAAAAATGAAACACCTGTCATCATCTACATCGTTTTCAAGGCATATAACATTCTTCTGTTGTAAAATGAAAAAATAAAACATAATGGTACCATAACGTGGTCATTTTAGCTTTTTTTCTTTTTCATTTTTTGAGTTCTACATTGTTTTTATGACACCTACATTTTTCACTTATATAACTTTCTTTTGTTGAATAAATGAACAAAAAATAGAAGTGCCATAATGTAATCATTTTAGCTTGCTTTTTCTTTCTTTCTTTCTTTATTTGAGTTCAACAGCCTCTATTCTCATTATTACTTCAATCAATGAACTGACTTTAGCTGTAAAATGACTCTGTTATTGTCTTCTTGCATCATTGACAAACTATGTTCCTGTTTGACTCTGTAAAGCTGCTTTGACACAACCAGTATTGTATAAAGCCCGGGGAAAATTGGTTGTCCTAGCAACAGTTCCGCCAACACGCAGCCAGCTGACCACACGTCTGCAGTGAAAGCGGGTCAGAGAGATGCTGAGAGTGAGGGAGGGCTGACGCTCAACAGGCCATTCTTATTAGCCAGAGGTCAAGGACTCGTACACAGACCACATCCTAAACACTATGAGCCTACTGCACTCACTGTACGTCCTTGCAAAATCACCAACGACACGTCAAACAAACAAACAAAAAAAAACACAAAACAATGCTCTACATATGAGTAAAAAAATCCACGAGTTCATGAAAGATCCTTCAGCTTCATAATCTTATTATAGGGCCTATTCTCTGAAAGAATGGTCAAATGATTTGACTTTTCAATAGCTGATACAATATTTAGAGATCAAGGTGGCCACTAAAACCAACGGAATCATAGTAAATAAAAATGTGAAATAAATAAATACAACTAAAATTACATTAACATTAATTGTACATAATATTTACACAAAATCTACTCCAAAATATACAGATAAAAATGCATAAGTGAAATATTAAGGCTGTAGATATGAACAAGCTGTTATGACTATTGATAGTCCCAGAATGGCCAAATATCAGCTTAATATTTGGCCTAGCTGATATATCAGTGTATTCTCTTGTGAAAAAGAAGTGCAAGTAATTGTTCTCAATGTGTACTTCACATCTTTAAAGTATGTTTTAAAAAAAATTGTACTTGCAGATAATATGAATTAATAAATTAAAATTTGGCCAACTTGGTAGCAACACACAACCCTATTTCTTAACACACTTAAGTGCACTTTAAAAATGAAATTAAGTTTTATATTTTAAATCATTATGTTTTAATATTTTGTCGAGCTTTAAAAAAGTACACTTGTTTTGATGTGTTGACTAACATACTAAAGCATATGTAAAACACTATTATAATTGTAGTTTATTAACATCAGTACTTATGAAAATCATTATTTTTATGATAATTCAAAATTTATATAAAGATGTACTTAAGTCCTGATTAAGTGTGCCAAAAAAGTTCTAAATGCATTTAGTATAAATCAAAATGTAATACATTTGTATTTAATTGCAATCAACAAGCAACTAAGGGTCCAGAAACATTATTTTTAATTCACACTTAAGTATATTATTTAAGTACTCTAAAAAAAAATGCTACAGTCTACTTCTTTTTCACAAGGGTCACTTTTGGCATGAATTTGCGTATTTACCATGACAAGAGGTGATAGCAACATAATGGAGGAGTAGTTTATTGAAGCAGAAATGATTTGCATGGTAGTACAATTAAAGCTCATATACCTATGCTGGATGTGTAGTCGGTTGCTCCAAAGATGAGTTCAGGGGCTCTGTAGTACCGTGAGCATATGTAGGAAACATTGGGCTCCCCACGTACTAACTGCTTAGCACTGCGACCAAAAAGACAGATTGTCACAGGTGTTAACTCTCCGAGCAAGAACAATCTCTGATCACACTCATTACCATTTCAGTCAACTACTCTGTCTTTTTGGAGCTTGTTGGCAGCATAAATCCCATGCATGAGGCCGAGTACATTACAAAATGTTCACTTTTGAATAACTTTAACCACTAAAATTGTTCTAACTCAACTCATTTAGAGCTAAAAAAAAATCACCTGAAATCTAAAGAGTTTCTTTTTTTAGCTGGTTGCAAAGTTGCTAACAGCTCAAAAGCATCTTAAGGCTCTATTCAGAGTACATGAAGACTACTGCTAATCGGTCTCCTCATTCAAGGAAAATTTGCATTATTTTTGTCTAAGTCCCCAGTATAAGGTATTCATTAACAAACGGCGGATTCACATGCCCTAGTTTTCAGCCAACAGACGTAAGGCAAGTGAAAAATGGATACCCGACTATCACTTCACCTAAAATTTTTAGCAGAAAAATGTGAAAAGCAGGCTAAATGAGGACGGCTGAAGTCAGCACTGATATCTGCGAGCATAGCGAGACCATCTGGAGGCCTCTGGCGAGGTGTAATATGGGATTATCAGGTTAAACGCAGTAAAGCGCTGCTTTCAGTTCACAGATCCGCTGGGGCCGCAATAGACCATTGAAAGGTTATCAGAAAAGCCATTGTCTCCTATGAACTGGCTATCAAGAGATTGCCAACTGACCTGCCAAAGTCACAGAGTTTGAGCACCGCCGTGTCTGGGTCCAGCAGAAGATTCTGCGGTTTGATGTCCCGATGGCAGATCCCAAAGGAATGGATATAGGCCAGACTCCTGAAGAGCTGGTACATGTACAACTGTAGTGATGAAGAGAAAAGTCATCAGGTCACTAAAGCAGTCATAAAAACAGCTCACAAAAAATGTACCCCAAAAATGCATAATATCATTTTGTTTTTATATCACTTGTAATATCAAATGATTTAATGAAATTCTAATGATAATTCTCCAGATCCACTGGTTTAAATCCAAATGACTTTTTTTTTTCAGAACAGAGAAGGTGAATTTTTGAACAATATAATGGCTGCTGTGTAACATATAATGAAAGTAAATGGGGACTGGTGCTGTCAAGATCTAAAATGACTTTAAAAACACCACAGTACTTTTTAAGGATCATAAAGGTGGTCCATTTGACTATTCTGAAGCAATATGGCAAATAATATAAGGCAAACAAAGCTGCACTGACATCAATGGCATTTTATCGCATTCATTACTCCATTTTTAGAGCTTTGAAAGAGGGGAAGATTATCAGTGAATAATGATTTTTGCTCTGTTCATCACCAAGACTTGGAATATAGTTCCAAGAGTCATATGGAGTACTTTTATGATTCTCTTATGGTGGAAAGAGCCCCAGTCCCCATTCACATTCATTATATGCAAAGAAGTGGCCACAGAATTCTTAAAAAAATACAAATTTTTTTGTTCCACAAATAAAAGAAAGTAAATAGGTAAGGATGTGTAATGGCATTTCCCTTACCATTATGTATTTCTCTACGTAATAGGGAAATAATGACACTTTTTTGAGTAAAATATTCATTTAAAGCATTTAGAGCTTGGAATAACTAGACTATAGTATATTCTTCATAAAAATTACCATGGAGTTATAAAATTCTATTAATTTACATGATTTTTTCAGATTTAGAAATCACTTTTTAAATGTTTGTTTTGTCTTAAATCATTAAGCAAAAACAAAGTAATCCTGTTGTCCTCTTGGAAGTGTGCTGAGGCCCCCTAGTGGGCCCTGACCCCCTGGTCGAGAACCACTAATTAACTTCTAAGTGGAAAGTTTTCCCATATAATTTGATCTGTACACATATTCAAGTATGTGTGTGTGTGTGTGTTTGACTATTTATGTCTCATCTTGCCAATAGCAGGAAGGATATAACTCAGGACGATGTCATCACAGCAGTCAAGACACTGGTGACGCAAAACTGCACGGGAGGAGGGGGAACAAACGCCAACACTCTCGGCTGACCCATATACTCACCAGCGGGAACAAAACACAAGGTTTTCATTCAGGATGCACACATCGCTCACACAAACACACATTAGGAACAATCCGCACCTTTACATAAACCATGGGAAGGGTCTGCTTAGCGCGGCTGTAGTGTCTCGCCACTCTGTAGACGGTCTCAGGGACGTAGTCCAGAACCAGATTCAGATACACCTCATCTTTCTGTGGACAGAAAACAAGAAAGCAAATACTTGAAGTCACAGAGTTAAAAGTGTCAGTCTTTATAGCACATACGTATATAACTTTAGTGAATCTATATATAAAACCAGCTCGGTATGGAAGAGGATAATGACTCTGAGTCAATGTCTATACTAAAAATGTCCCATACGCTGCATCCCTCCATATATCTCAATGACTGCACAACCAGCGTATGAACCGTAAAAACAGCTGCTATGGAAACGACACAAAAACAGCCAATTCTCTAGCATGATGTCATTGTGGACGTTGAATGCCATGCATTGTGTGGAACCGTGCCTAAAAGCGAGCGATGATTGTGCCCACCATCTTTACATAACATACATGCTCAGACACTGAAGTCATATCCTCCTGTAGAACTGAAGAAAAGGAAGAGCTCAATAGGGTGGCCTACAGGGCCACTCTGACCCCTCGTCTGATGTCACATCCTGTCTATTATGCCCTTCTTCCTTCCTCCACAAGTTCAGTTGTGAGAGAGTCTATTTCTGCTGAATCTGACATGCCTGAGCTCATTTACTTTAGGCATGACTCAAAAGGACATGAGTCAAACCGACCTCACATACTCTGCTAAACATGTCAAGATACTTGAATATAAGAATAAGAAGTCCAAATATAAAAGATATAAATATAGATACAAAACATAAAGGGATTATTTTACCCAAAAAATAAAATTCTGTCATCATACATTTTCACATAAATAACTTTCTTTTGTTAAAAATGTTTTGTTTATGTTTTGGTAAACTATTGCTTTATTACTATATGGATCAAATCTGAAAAATAATTACTAATAACAAAATTAAATAAATCTTGAAAATAAATAGAAGTTACTCTGCTAAATGTATGAAGTTAAGATACTTAACTATTAAAAATAGCACTTCAAACATTTTTGCACTGTATCTTGTTTGGTATTTCACAAGAGCAAGAAAAGGTTTGGAGTAGCATGAGGGTGAGTAATTGATGACAAACTTTATGTTTTTGTAAACTATTCCTTTATCAAAATCTGCATTAAATCTGAAAAAATAATTACAAGTAACATAAATAAATAAATCCAAACATATATATATATATATATATATACAAGTTACAAGCAACAAAGTATTTCACCAGGACACAGTGAATGGCTGTTCTTCACAAAGACAAAATATGCAATGAATTTTTCAGTGCCCAAGTCATTTTTCTTTCTCTGCTTTGACTCTGATTTATAAGTAGTCTCTAATAACAGATGTTTGATTTCCTAAAACAATGTGGGAAAATAACCCAAACCACCCGCTGACTGTGCTGTGCAGCTAAAATTAGTCGTAGCGATGACTCACTCTCCACCCTTACTACAGCAACAGCAACACTTCCTCAATTACGGCCAATCGGAGAAGCTCTGAGGCGACTAGCTCCTGAGATGCCCCCATCAGATTACAGGGCCATCTGATTGGCTGCTGCTCTGTGGTCACATGACTTTGTGAGCATGCAATTGGGTGATCTGTGGCTCATGCCTCAGTGAGGGAGCCACAGGTAGAGACTCATCTGTCCCCAGGCCCTGCTATTACCGTTTCTTCCACAAACAGCTCCTGTCAGAGCCAAACCTACAGGGAGGTGAAGCTATATGCGCTAACCAGAGGTTATGAAAAAATCCAATAAAACTACTAAAATTCAAGATAAAGCCTAACTACATACATGTGAAATGTAGAAAAAAGGAAAATTCACAAATAACTTATGGAGATTTTTCCATCTAAAGATTTTTCCTGGACCTACTTTTCTCTGTAAATTAAGGGTGCACTGTATTGCTGAAAAACACAATCCCTACTTAGCAGTCAGATGTCCATATGCACAAAGGCACAGATCCCAAAACAAGGCCATATCTGCAGATGAAACTTTTTTTGTAGAAGCATTTTTAAAATTTAAACTAGCACAGACTACACCACATTATGTACGAGAAGCTGCAAAAGACACAGGCACAAGTGGAATGTGACTCACTCTCCACCCTTACTACAGCAACAGCAACACTTCCTCAATTACGGCCAATCGGAGAAGCTCTGAGGCGACTAGCTCCTGAGATGCCCCCATCAGATTACAGGGCCATCTGATTGGCTGCTGCTCTGTGGTCACATGACTTTGTGAGCATGCAATTGGGTGATCTGTGGCTCATGCCTCAGTGAGGGAGCCACAGGTAGAGACTCATCTGTCCCCAGGCCCTGCTATTACCGTTTCTTCCACAAACAGCTCCTGTCAGAGCCAAACCTACAGGGAGGTGAAGCTATATGCGCTAACCAGAGGTTATGAAAAAATCCAATAAAACTACTAAAATTCAAGATAAAGCCTAACTACATACATGTGAAATGTAGAAAAAAGGAAAATTCACAAATAACTTATGGAGATTTTTCCATCTAAAGATTTTTCCTGGACCTACTTTTCTCTGTAAATTAAGGGTGCACTGTATTGCTGAAAAACACAATCCCTACTTAGCAGTCAGATGTCCATATGCACAAAGGCACAGATCCCAAAACAAGGCCATATCTGCAGATGAAACTTTTTTTGTAGAAGCATTTTTAAAATTTAAACTAGCACAGACTACACCACATTATGTACGAGAAGCTGCAAAAGACACAGGCGCAAGTGGAATGCAAAAAACATGGTGACATAAATTTTTAAGTAAATGGGCAATATATTGCGTCACCAAAAATGATTGAGGTCATGTACATATATTGTGCGATAAATTGATATATTGATTGTTGCGACAGGCCTAACACACACACACACACACACACACACACTTCTGTTGGAAAACCTAGTGACCCATTATGTAGGCAGCATTTTAAAGCATCAAGAGCACTCCAGACATGAAGGCTATTCCAAAAAGCATTCAGCATATTGATGCTGCCTTCTTTTTTCATTCAAAATTATACCCAATACTTTGCATAACGTGAGAGAAAAGTTGATTATAAATATAAATCATTCAAAACTAAAAATTATCAATAAAATAATACAAGAATTAAAAAAAATCTATAAAGATATTGCCAAACGTTTTATGTGCTCTTTTTTTTTTTTTGCTTGTTACAGTATTCCATGAAACTAAAACCAATTGTGAATCAAGTCTCTTGGGCATTTCAAGTGATCATTTGTATGATGCACACAGTTTAAAATCAGTCACTTATTGCATGATGACATTACAACAAAAGTGCCAAAAAGGATAGTTCACCCAAAAATGAAAATTACCCCATGATTTACTCACCCTCAAGCCAGTTTATGATTTTCTTTCAAACGAATACAATTGGAGTTATATTAAAAAAAATGTTGCGTGTTTCTATATCTGAAACTTGGGCTTGGCAGCCACAAACATGCCACTAAAGTAGAGTGCTGAGAAAGAACATCACCCATATTCTTTTTTTTTTCTATTGTGATTTTCACTGTACAACAGAACGCGCGCCAGGAGAGCCAGCTGACAACGTTGATTGTCCTCCATGTGTTTTTCTTCTCCAGTCACGTTTGATCTCATGAGTCTCCGTGAGATCTCGTGTCACTGCGAAATCGTTCCTACAATCAACAAGTGTGTGGTCTCGCGGTCTGGCCGAATCATCTAGTGTGCGCGTTCAGAGGATTATAAGGCTAAAAATCGGTTGAAACTGTCTTCATGTCTGTGGTCTCCCATGGTTTTAAAATCAGTTAAGGTTTAAAAAAACGTCTAGTGTCCCAGGTCTTACATATTTATGTACTTATGCACACTTTTACACACAAGTGCTGATTGTCAACACTAAAATGTATAGAATGAAATGTATATGCACTGTAAAAAAAATAATAATACAAATTAAAATTGTTTCAACTTAAAAAATGAAGTGTCCGTGCTGCCTTAACATTTTAAGTTTAGTCAACTCAAATATCCAAGTTGTCACTTAGTACTTCACATTTCAATTTGACTAAACTTAAAATTTTAGGGCAAACTCTTACTTTTTTAAGTTCTATCATGACAACTCTTGGAAGATTTTAGCATGGTAAAGGATGTGACAATGTTAATGTAGTTGGTTGCTGCTAAATTGCTGCTGTTGTTGGTTATTGCTGATGTTGTAGATTATTGCTGCTGCTGCTGCTGCAAAGCAAGTAGGAACTTGCTACTGCCAATACATATGCCGATACGGTGCTATGAGTATTTAAGACATACTGCTGCTGCACAAGTAGCACATATAATAAACCGTAACAGGTCTATACAGGTGGAGCTGGGGAGGGTGGAGGGTTTCAGAGGAACTCTGAAAGCACGCTGCGAAATGCTCTAGTGAATGCTAACCAGATATTTAAAAGTAAAGCAGTAAACTCATTGGCTGTGTATGCAACATGAACCAATCAGCTTCTGCCAAGTCGTTTAATGCTGTGAATATCATCAGTTTATGTTAACGACCCATCAGCCAGTGCCATCTAGAGTTTAATGACAGAACTTAGCATTTGAAACAATATTTTTTTTACAATGTATATTTAAATAGAATGAAAGATGTGCGCTGTTATGACATCACACGTCATCATTTCTGTGTCATCATTTCTCGATCAGATGCCAAAAGCAATCAAGAAACAGTGCTAATATATGCTCATGGTGTGCTGTAATACTTCTAAAAAATCATGATCCTATCTCCATACCAAAATATCAGATAGCCAGACAATGACTCATCTTTTATATCACGTTAATATTGTATGTACTGAAGCTAAGAGCATGAGCATGAAGTCCAAATGTCATTTTAGTAAGAAACTATGCTTCTAACCACAGGTCAAGAGTTTTGGTTCCAACCATACAACTTTGTGATGTTGTTTGAAAATGTTTGTTGAAACTATGGTTTCGGAAAACATAGCGACCATAGTTGGTTAACGATGCTTTTGATAAAACGCACCAGTTCAGCACAGCTAGTGACACAGAAATCACACTCTTCACCTTTAAGCTCAGAAAAGAGAAAGCACTTTAACATCAAAAAATTACACACTTCACCTCTAACATAAAAGTGATGATGGTCAAATGTCAAGTGTTTGTTCTCAGTGACTGGACTGTTGCCATATCATTAGCGACATGGACACGGCCGTCTGTCTACAGATCTCTCTCTCTTCCCTCCCCTTCAGCCCTTGTTCTAGTTTCTTAGAGATTTTTATTATTTTATAGACCTGTTCTCCATGCACTCCCTGTCAGCCTTTACCCCAGTGCTCTGTGATTACAGAGGAGCCGGGGCGTGCGTGTGGGCGTGTGAGCGGAAACCAGCTACTGACATTTCGAAAGCGTGTTTCTCAGAGAAGAAAAAAAGGGTGGTCAGGCGTTTTTGCAAAGTCATGGGTGTGGGAGAGAGGTCGAGAGGGTCTGTGCGTACGATGTGTGATATAATCGAGACCAAGAAAGACAGAGAGGTAGATGTGTGGTTGGTGGTTAGGCGATGCTGCAGCGTTGACAGTAATTATGTGTGTGTGTCTTAATATCTCAGTCAGAGTGTGTTAGGTCTATATATGCCAAGCAGATAAAGCAGATAATCACATGGGCACAAGTTCTCAGAGTCGATTTCTCACAGGTCAGCATCTGGGCGCCATTAGACTCCATTAGAGATTAACAAACACAGAGAAGCATGACTGATGTAGATGGGCTGGGTGATATAGTCAAAAAAATATTATTATTAGAATATAAAATATATATTATAATATTATTATTACCTATTTGATTATATTAAATACATATACCTTAAAAAGTTTTTTTAAAATAAAATAAATACTTTTATTCAGCAAGGATGCATTAAACTGATCAAAAGACACAGTAAAGACATTTATAATGTAAAAGATTTATATTTCAAATAAATGCTGTTCTTTGAACTTTCTTTTTGAACAAAGCATCCTGAAGAAAAAGGTTTCCTGGAGAAAAAAAAAAGGTTTCCACAAAAAATACTGTCTTCAACATTGATAATAATAAGAAATGTTTGTTGAGCAGCAAATCAGCATATTAGAAAGTTTTATCATGTGACACTGAAAACTGGAGCAATGATGCTGAAAATTCAGCTTTGCATCAATGGTCATGGTGAAACATCCAAACATTTAGTGTCTCTGAAAAGTCCTGAATGTGCTCTGTACAGGACATCCAGACTTGTATAGTCTCAGAGAAATTCACTAAAATATAATGTCCTCATATGAGGATGCAGGGTCTCAGGAGGTTATACTGTTCTTACTGTATTTTTTTTTTTTTTACAAATAAATGTCTTAGTGAGTATAAGAGACTTCTTTCAAAAACATCAAAAAATCTTACTGACCACAAACTTTTGAACCGTAGTGATTATCTTGATATTTATGTATTTTCTCTGAAAGTACTTTGAAAATATCTAATGAAATACTCAAAATATAGCAAAATCTAATTAAAATAGTTTTCTCATTCTTTTACCTTTATATTTTTTATTTGCATTTAGTAATATTGCTATATATACTAATAAACCTACAGATATTTTTACTAAAATATTTTAACATACAGTTTAAACTGATTCACGAAAATGAATAGAACTTACCAACTTTAATAGCATAAAAACACACCGTGATGTAGCGTGAGATAAAACAAAAGATGAAGTGATATAGCAGAGACACTTGCCTTATCTCCACTGGAATAGAAGAAATAACGCAGACGCACAATGTTGCAGTGGTCCAGTTTTCTCATGATCTGAAGCTCACGGTTCTGCAAGAAACACAAACAAGAAAACAATTTAAAGGTGACATATATCATGAAAATCTGACTTTTCCAGGTTTTAAGTTCTATAATCAGGTCCCCGGTGCATCTACCAACCAAGGAAACGTGAAAAAGATTAACCCAGTAACTTTGTTTTGGTGAGCCTTTTTCTGCAAGTGTCTGAAAAAACAAGCGCGTCCGATTTCACTCCCCTAGAACTTAGTTTAGTAGGCTACTCACATGCTGTGACAGCCGCTTTCTGAACGTGTGCACTCAGAAAACCATGTATCAGAAGTTTAAACTAATATGATTAAAAACGCATGATTTCAGCGTGATAAACATGATAATCAGAACCAAAACAGATGTTTTTAGCAGGTCCGAGCTGTAATGGCGCAGCTCTATTCTGGAAAAGGGGGCGGGGAGCAGCAGCTCATTTGCATTTAAAAAGACAGGCACGAAAAACAGCGTGTTTCTGCTTCCACTCAAAATAGGCATTTTCAAAATGATATAATAAATGATCTGTGGGGTATTTTGAGCTGAAACTTCACAGACACATTCTGGGGACACCAGAGACTTATATTACATATTGTAAAAAGGGGCATAATATGTCGCCTTTAAGTTAAAAAATATATTCAGCTGCTAATAGAGTGTAGTACTCAGCAACAGCAGTACTCTGAGCTCAGTTTACCACCTTTTAACATTTCAAAGTGTAAAAACTGCAAAGATGCCATATGTGGCCCTGGACCACAAAACCAGTCAGAAGTCGCACGGGTATATTTGTAGCAATAGCCAACAAAACTTTGTATGGGTCAAAATTATCGATTTTTCTTTTATGCCAAAAATCATTAGGATATTAAGTAAAGATCATGTTCCATGAAGATATTTTGTAAATGTCTTACTTTCCTACTTTACTTTTCATAAATATATCAAAGATATATTATTTGTAGAAATATGCGTTGCTATAGACTTCATCTGGACAACTTTAAAGGCGATTTTCTCAATATTTCGATTATTTTTGCACCCTCAGATTCCAGATTTTCAAATAGTTCGGCCAAATATTGTCCTAACAAACCATACATCAAGGGAAATCTTATTTATTCAGCTTTCAGATGATGTATAAATCTCAATTTCAAAAAATTGACCCTTATGACTGGTTTTGTGGTCCAGGGTCACATATGGGATCACTGACGTCCCTTTGAAGCCTTGTGATCCAGCAAAAAAAAAATTCTCCAATTGGTCATGAACTGATTGATTTATTCATTAATTTATTCCAACAATAAACTGCTGAAATAGAACTGTAAGAATGACTGATATATGTGAAGTGCAATTCAAATAAAACACATACACAGCAACAAATAAAGTTCTCGAGAGTTCTCGCTTAGAGGACTTGGGTCAGTTTCCGACCCACATCTGACCAGAATAATAGACCAAAATAGAGCTACTGAAATGGCCCGTAACCATGACAACCAGTGTCATCTGGCGGCTTCCATGAGAGAAACTGGCTAATCAACAATTTTATTTAAAGCACCACCCACATTGTACGTGCATCTGAGAGAGATGCTTCCTCTATTTACAATGAGAGCAGCAGAAGATGACGGCAGGGCATTAAATACAGGAAGACTTCATATCTGATACAACTTTAAGGCTTTTGAGGATTTGTTTAGTCAAGGCCACAGTCACTTTGGAAAATAGCAGGGCATATACATTCAGTGTCTGTTTGACATTAAAGTTTGGTTTGTTTGGTTGGTGTGAAGCGGTCTGACAAAATGAAGTCCACTTGAAAAGGTGGTTTGAGTTAAAGTCACTTTGGTATGGTTTGCAATTAGTATGAATGGAATCTGTATAAACTGCTATAGATGACATAATTTAAATCAATGCATTGTCACAGTAATTATAATATAATGCATTTTTCGTTTCTCTCTGGATACATTGCCTTTGGACAGCAGCCTGTATTCTTCACATCTCTTGCAATGCATCTTGCAGACAAATTCACACACATTTTAAGAACATATGTGTAAAAAATAAATAAATTAATTTAAAAAAAAATAGTATCATCACTTGTAGTCATACAGTATACAGCAAATGCAGCCTCATAGATTTGCTGCTGTATATTATTGACAAGAAAAAGTGCTCTTAATTTAATTCTTTCATTTATTTTAGTTATCAGTTACTTTCTGCTTACTTGAATAATCACTTCAAAAAACTTGAGCAATGTGTACATAATTAGTAAATATGTGAAAACATGTTCTAATTTGATAGTAAACTTTATATTATTATAATATTTTAAGTTATAAAATTTAAAGTTGTGAGTTTAATATTCGTTTTTGCTGTAGTATAAATAATTGTGAAATTATTGGTAGTTATCGGGTACTGAATTTTGGTATTCTGACAATGAAGTTGTAAAAAGTAACCTGCGGAGACAGAGGGAGGGGTGCGGAATCAAACTTGAGATTGTGTGTGTGTGTGTGTGTGTGTGACTCTATTAGCCTGTAACTCCATCACAATCACACGGTCAGTGGTAATTTGTGAACACACTAGTCACTGCCAACTCTGCATACAGTCACTCTCATCAGGCCACTCCATTTACACACACAACTACATCCACTTCAGCCAAATCAGTTGACAGTTGAAATCATTGAAATCAACATTACAAATTTTGAATCTACTTGTATACAATGGCTGTTCGGCTAAAATTATGGTTTCTCTGATTTAAATGAAACCATTTAAAGTTATTTTAGAGAAAACATAAATATTGAGAACGAATAATATCACGCTTAGAATAAGCAAAGATAGAATATCTTAGCTACTGTTTATTGCACAGCCTTCTAATACAGTTATATACTTGGTTAAGGATAAAGCAAACAGTACCTTTGCTTCATGCACACGGCCAAGTACACAATCGCTTCATGGAAAATGATTGATTCCTCTGAAAAGCCCCAATTACATCACTTCAGCTGCACTATTACATCACACAAGCATCTGAGTAACCTAAAAACAGCAGTGCTGGATTACTGGCTTCTGCTGACAAAATCAGCATATGGATGTATCATGTATGTATGTATATATATATATATATATATACATACATATCTAGGTTTTTCTTTATTTTTTTTATACATACTAACTAATAATACAAATATCCACTAATGTCAAAGTAAGAAGCTTGTGCTTGTGAGATATGAATAGTAGGACTGTTCTCACATGCTATTATCATGTATGTGTGTGTGTTTGTTGCAGGGTAAAGGTCACACAGATAAACACCCCTACAGATGCTGACACACTTCACACATACAGATCCTCGCTAGGAAAAGCTTTGAGCAAGAGAGGGAGCAAACTCCATTGAAAGGAAGGTGGAAAGAAATGACAGAAATAACAGTATCACGTGAAGCTTCATAGATGATGCACACTCCTCACAGCGTTTGACAGGTGTTTATACTTAACGGGTTTTGCACTATTTTCCGAAAACAACAGGTGGCAGCTTAGAGAAAAAAAAACTATCTCTAACCAGCAAAAGACAAATAGTTTACCAAACTTTACTTGGTAAATATTAGTGAGGATGACATATTGTTTTTTGAATAGTGATTGATTTCAACAGAGGTTGGTGTTAGCATGTTGCTAAGATAACAGCTGAGTACTTTAAAGTTTGTATGAACTGGACGTTACAACCAAATTTACTTCAGTATTGTGACGTATTTCTGAGTAAAACGGATTATTGAATGAGGAAAAAACAGAGGCAGATGTGTTTTAGTGCACATCCTTGTAAAGACTACGATGAAAAACGAATGTTTTAATGTGCTCTAACAAAGTAGGGTCAATTTTGACTTGATGCAGACTTAATAAAAATATATAATAAAATATATTTTAAAAAATATATATATAATACACAAATATTGGGTACAATAGTCTATTAGTAATTAGAGGGACATTTATAATGTAAAAAACCCCACTATTTCAATGAAAAATTCACTTTTCTCAGGTGAACGCAAAACGTTTGCGAGAAAAAGCAAATGTTTTTTTTCAGGGGAGCATTGGGGAGCATTCCATTGATTTAACATTTCTATGAATATTTCTTGTTATTGAATGAATTATATATTTAGAACTGACATTGCACTAGGTTCATCTGCTGTGTTTGATGGATTTTTTCACTGGACTTCTACTTCAAAATACATAGAATTTGCCCAGAAGCCATTACAGAAGGAAGTATAATTATGCCTGTACATTCTGGAAGAACCTTCCTGTTGGAAATGTGCCAATGATGACTTAAAATGCTTAAAATGTTGCCAATACAGGCAGCACTATCACCCTAGAACAGTGATTCTCAAACTGGGGTACGTGAGATGATGGTGGGGGGTACGCGAACAAAATTCTGAGTTTTGGCATTCATTTAATACCCCAACTTAAAGCAACATTAAAACCGAACGTATTTCTGACAAGCAAAATGCCGCTTCTAATGTAAAAACAGGAAAATGGGGGTGCCGTAAACGGTCAAATATATGATATCCAATCAGCTTACCTCATTTTTTGCGGTCAAAACTGACTGCATCCACACAAGCAGCGTGCATGTGATAGGATGGCCACTGAATATGCTGCTTTAGCAAATCGCACTGCTGTTCAATGTATCTTTAAAGTAGATCTTCACTTAATAGCGTGAAGAGCAAATATTGACACGCACTGTACATTGAGATTGATTTAAACTCTCTTCGATACAGACACACTCTGTGCGTGTTATTGTTTTCATGTTTAAGATACGAGCAAGAATGCAAATTTCCCTGAATATCCAAACGATGGCAAATGTGCCATTAATTTTTACAACAGTTCAACAAAAAAGGTAATATTAAGTGAACATTTTACATTTTAAATGTAGCCTACATTTTAAACA